CCGGCCGTTTGGCCGGGATTTTGGCTCCGATTTGGCCACAGGAGGAATCAACGTGGAAAAACGAGTCGGGGGTACGAAATTTACCTCGATCGGCGGTCGGAAGTTCCTTCGGTGCGGCGGCAGGTGGCGGCGGCCGGCTTCTGGTTCGTCTTCTCCGGCGAGTGGCAGGCGGCTAGGGTTTGTGGTCTAGTGTGGGGGTTCTATTTATAACCCCTTGCCCTTTGATCTCAGCCGTCCATTTTTTATTGAATCTGGGACGTCCGTGCGATTGCATCTGGGCCGTCCGATCGCGCGATTGATATGGGCCGTCCGATCGCGCTCACGCGGATCGCCAACGTGGCCCGTTCCGGAGTGACGTGGTCTTGCCACGTGGCAAGCCCCGGTTGGCCGGGTTGCTGACCGGGCCTGCTGACGTGGCTGCCGACGTGACTTTTTTTTTTTTTTTTTTTTGGCCTCTTTTCTCCGGGCGCTACAAAAATGTTCACCCTAATCACCTGAGGAAATAGGAATAAAGGGTTTTTTTTTTTTTTTGGTTAATTGAAGTCTTTCATCCAACGGCGAAAAATTAATTTGATCCTCTTGACCCAATGGTGAAGAATAAAAATAGATTTTGAATTAAAAAATAGAAGTAATTCAATTAGATGAATAATTATTAAATGTAAGAAGACTTCAAATTTGAAAATGTATTAACATTGTAGTAGGCACCGGGAACATTCATTTCTTAATTTTGATTTGTTATTTATACGTAATTTCTAAAATTAAAATAGTTGTGGATAAAGATAATCATATATTTAAGTTGGTTTCAATTACAAAAGTTCAATTAAAAATTTCCAGCTTAGATATTCAAGGGGATAATTTTCACTCTTTAGTATGTAAATATACTCTATATACGCCTTTGGTTAATTCAAATCAATTAATAATTAATTTTGGCTTAACTTAAAAAAAATATTTAATTAAAATTTAAATCTTTCAGTTAGTGTTCGAGACACAATTAAAAGAAACCAAAAATAAATTGATTGTCTTGCATGCCTAATTGAAATACAATATCTAATTAAACCTTAATCTTTCTAATTTCTACAAGAAATCATTTTTTAATATATTGTTATGTTTAATATAAACCAAGAAAGGGTTTTGCGTTTCTTGCAACAAACAAGCTCTAGTTTACCATCGCCGGAGAAAATCCATGGCCGATGATACAGATTCTGACTCTGGAATTGGGGTAAAACGAAGAATGGCATGCCAAAAAGATCTTGTTCCAGAAATACAACAAGAACCCTCCTCTAATCTCTCCATGCCAAAGCAAGATTCAGAAAAATCATCTGATGCTGTTCTCATTTACAGTGACGAGTCGGAATCCATGAACCTCGGTCTCAAGAATAAGGTAAAGTGTTCATTTCATGAGTCTCAGCCCGATAACCAGCAAACTGGATGTTGATCCTGATGTGGGTAGTGAGCAAAATCAAGAAAAGACTGATTCTTTGAGTTTAAAGCAGACTGTCGAATGTGGGGGTTTTGTGAAATGAAAATTGGTAATGACGGTCAAGAAGTGCAAGATGGATGGGATATTGATACGGGTTTTATTGCAGGGGCTGCGAATGTTGAGCAAGAAGGGGATTTTTCTGGTTTAGTCGATGGGAAAGGGGGAGAATTTGGGAAAGACCAACTGGGTTCCTCTAGGGTTCTTCAAGAATCTAACAAACTCAAAGGAGAATTGAATTCTCTGGGAAGCGTGTAGCATCTAAAGAAGAGAAGTCTGTTTCAGAGGCTGAACTCGAAGTTGGATCGTTCTTTGAAGACAAGACAAGAGCCGTGTGGAGAAAGTTACTAGTTTCAGGGAGTTTATCACGAATCGATGAAAAGGAAAATGGCGGTCAGAAACTACAGAAAATGGTGCGGAACGATGGTGAAGAAACTGATGGACTCGTTAGACGATCATTGAAGATTGATGAAACGGCATTGATTGAAACTTCTCTTCCAGTCCCAACACCGAGAATTGGATCTACAGAGGAGGTTGAAACTATGAGCGGAATCATGAAAAGAATGGTGGAAAAGAAGTTGTTGAGGAGAAGGCAAAACGGTCATGGAGAAAGAGGTTCTGGGAACAATTGGGAGGTACAAGAATCTTGCTCACTTTTGGGAACTTCATAACGGTGGTGAAGAGGATGGGCATCAATCTAAGACGACCTACTCAAGGAAGGAAGTTGGAAATTGTAGAACAAAGGAAGTTGTATACTTACACACACACTCCTCTTGGCTCCACAATTATGAGTGCCAAAAATTAATTTAATTAAATTGAATTAACCAAACGCATAACATATGGTTTTAAAAAAATTTTGTTTGCAAATTTTTAATTGGACTTTGTAATTGCGTTCAATTTAAATATAAATAATCAAATTATGATTAAGACTAGAAATTATTAAATTTTTTCTATAAATATTTAATATTAAAAATTACCTATAAATAACTAATTAAAATTAAAAAATGAGTGTGAATTATTATATTAGAGATAAAATATTTTTATTAATGTGATTTAAAATAAAAGTAAAAGCTTTAAATTTGCGGTCTAAGAAATGAATGTTCCTTGTGGCTACTACAAAGCAAAGTGACAATTTTAGTACATTTTCATAATTGTACATTTAATAATTATTCATCTAATTGAATTAATACCTAGATTAATAGTGATTTCTAACTTAATTCTAGTTTCTAATTGGAAATCTATTTTTATTCTTCACTATTTGATCAAGAAAATAAAATTGATTCTTCACCATTGGATGAAAGACTTTATTTAACTAGAAAAATATACCCTTTATTCTTATTTTCTAGAGTCATTAGGGGTGACTATCGATCTGCAATCAAGTCGGGTCAAATCAAAATTCTACTCACACACTTGGACAAACTTAAGCGAAAAAGATAAGAGTATCTCTTATGCTTAGTGCCCGAGTGTGCATACAATGTTTGTTTTCTTGAAGGATATCCAGGACAGAGAAGAACTCACGTGACAGGTTGCTCTTAAGGCCAACGAAATTATATTTCAATGAGTTACTACATTACATTGAGGATATCACATCATCTAGCTGGAACTCGAATCTAAACATACTTAAATCAGCAAAATGGATTGCTCGGGAAGCAAATTTTTTCACTAAGTATAAAAAATCAAGTCTGAAGTAACACTAACATCTCTTTAAGATTGTAAACATCTCTTCTTCTATTAACAAAGTAGAAGAATCAAAACATCATCAGATTTGTTGCTGTTCCAACAATGAAAGGCTCCATTGATAACCGAGTCAAGAAGTAAAATATGACACCCAATGTGATAGATATGGGAAGGGCAGGCAGAGCTCGGTGGCAAACAGACAACAAAATTAGAGTGCAACCAAGTCCCGAAATTATAGCAAGATAACAAGCATAGACTGTCATTAGATCGTACATTGCAGCTCTACCTACAAGAACACTGAAGAAAATAAAATCCCCAAGACCAAGTCTGATACCCCGATTTGCTGACTGGGAGTCTTCTGTTGCATCCCTCCTCGTCTGTCCCTCATTTTCCATTCCCATCATATCAACCAAGGGAGACATTTCCTCATCGACAAAATTCTCATTCTCTCTATTGTCAACAACAGTTGAATACTGTGATGATCCACTACTTGTGAAGGGCCTTTCCCTAGAATTACTAACCAAGGGTGACCTTTCACCTTCATCTATATTCCCCTCACCTTGAGCATTTCTAGAGTTCCTAACCTCAACAGCAATATACTCTGAATTCGCACGATTTACATCTCTATTCTGATTTACATTGCCATTTGAAACTGCCTGCAGCTCCACTGATCCAGAATCTGACACCCCAGCAACCAGAAGCCCCAAGCTTGAACCATGATTTCTCCTACTATGTGAAACTACTGGCCGTGCTTCATATACCAATGCTGGAAGCTCTTCATCCCGACTTGACGCCAGCTCCACCAATAACTTAAGTGGCCCACCAGGTACTAAAACAGCAACTAAATCATATACAGCCAATGCCACCAACAAGACCCATGTAGTCCATTCAGGTAATTTTGTAAACCAAGCAGCCACAATTATCCCCATTAACACCATATATCCTTGTCTTAGAACAATTGGTATCCCCTCCGAAAACAGAGACAAAACACCCACAACAGTAAAATTTAATAGTAACACTAAACATGTAACCGAATCGACAGGAATTGAGAAATGCTGGATAATTGACAAAAAAATTGAACCACCCATTGTACCTATCACGATAAAAGGAAATTAATAAGCAAAGTAATAAAAAGGACATCAGAAAAAGACTGAAAGATGAAACTGCCACCCATATTTAACATGTAAATAGACCAACAAACCCAGAATGCTAACATGAAACAAAAATACAAACAATTAAATCAAAGGCAACAGTAAATGCTGAATTAAACTAATGGATATGAAGAAACGCCAATCATTCTTATTATGGCTATGTTTGGAACACATGAATCCTATAAAACAAGCGTTGAATTCATTTGCAAATCCACAATTTAAGACATGAATATAAAACCAAAAAACCAATATTTGTGAATCTTAAAATCCATGAAAAACTTAATATAAAAGACACAACTGGGTTCACTAGCATCCAGAAACACCTAATCATCATAAGCTACACAGCTAAAAGAATAGAACAAACACGGATGAAACAAACAAGAGCAAAACATTGACGATCATCTCAAACAGCAGAGAACTAACTTAACATCCTGAAGGGCATAAAATTTGATTGTTCTATGATGAATGGCATGAAGAAAGAGTAACCGAGTAAACACTCATCAAGAGAAACATTGAACTGAAATTGCACTCAAATGTAAGCCAAAGAAAGCAAAAATCGAGCCAAAGGGCAGAGACAAAGTAAATAAACCATCACGAGCTTAGATTGGCAAGAAAAACAGGCATCCACCAGACTAAACTACAGGAAAAGAAAACAAATAGCAACAGAAATTTTGCAGAACCGCAATAAAAAAAACAAGCAGAAATGGTCATCAAATGGTGACTGAGTCGCTGCAAAACCTAATAGGAAAATGAAATAATACTCAAAAGCCTAAAGATGTAATTAAGCAGAAAAGCAGGGAAAACATCGAATCACCAACGCGACTATCAATCTACTACAACCTAAATTGTAACGCCCACAGGAGCAAAAGAATAAATAGGGAAAACGTGCAGCGGAAATGGTGAAAGAACCATAAACAATACCTAGCACAAAAAATGCAGAGAAGCGAGTGTAATTCTTCAAGAAGTTGGTGAAATTATAGTAGTACAAGAGGACGAGGAGGAAGGTGACAATGGCGATTAACACGACGAAGACCAAGGCGTTGAGGAGTGCACCCTCGAGCTTCTGTGCAGCTGAATCGGAGGGGTTTTCCACGTAAACGAGATTCGCGGCGGTTCGTATCTGAGTGGCAGAAGAAGAAAATGGATTGGAAGGGGAGAGAGAGTAGACGAGGAGGACAACGAGGAACATGCAGATGGAGACAGGAGACATCACGCCGATGATCTCAACGCCGATGAACTCCAAAATGCTCGGCTCCATTTCTGCGGTGTGGTGCGGGGATGGGGAAAGAGAAGTTGATAATGGAGGAATTTTTCAGAGATGAAGATTTTTGTTGATTTTTTACCTGCTAGTTTCTACCATTTTCGCCTTTCGGTCTACGTTTCTTTGTCAACGGAGGAATCACCGGTTCGTTCATCCTGCTTCCGGCTAAGGTTTTATAGAATAGTGAAGTATGTTTTTGAATTTAAAAAAAAAAAAAAAAGAAAAGAAAATTGGGAATAAAATTTTATTTGAGAACTGAGATAATATTATAAGAATATTAAGTTTCAAATATTAATAAAATTTAATCAAATTTCTAAAATCTAAAGAGTTAAATAAATAAAAATATAGAGAGACTAT